GGAGCAATCCAGCGGGACCACGAGCAAACCATTGAGGAGCGGGAGCAGTTTTTTTTGGACAGAACGCAAAAACCGGCTGGGCGGTTCGAGTGGTCCGAACGGGTAACTGTTTTGGCCGCTCAAAAATTGCCATTCCTGACCGTTGTGACTTTTGATTGATTTCGAACCAGACTGTTGATTGGGTGCCAGTTTTACTGATCCGACCGGTCGGCTTGGTTTGGCTTGAATAACACTACATTCAATACACCCCATAACTTCAGTTTATCCTTGGTTGCAATTCGATTAAGAATGACAAGCGAGGTCACCACTCTGTTTCTTGGTATACTACAAGAAATTCGACCTTAAATGACAAAATATTTTTTGGTCATAAATTATTTGTCATATTAGGCCACCAACTATGACAAAAGGACTTGTCACGTTTAATTGACTATATGTGATAAAAGTTGTCTTTGTCATTAAAAGTTGTCATAATAGAGTTATATTGTGACAAATTTCTTGTTTTCATTAGAATGTTGTCACTTTATGTCTTACTTACTGTGCAAATACGGCTATAGAATGACAAAACACACTGTCACCTTATGGTTTGTCACATTAGGTGCAAAAAAACATCGGATATGACAATAGATTTTGTCATAATATGTCGTGCAAAATGAAATAAACTTTTTGTGTGAAATTGTTTTAGAATTTCTATTTTTGTCTACAAATCCATTCGGCGGGAATATTATTCCCCTTCCCTCCAAAACGAAACAAAATCCCAATCCTCTATAACCCTTCAGCGCCAAGAACAAAAAACCCAATTCCTTCTCCTCTGCGAATTGAAAAGTCCAAATCGCTCTTCCCTTATCCTCTTTAGTGATTCGTCGGGCTACGTTCTCCTCCCCGAGAATCCATTGTCCGGTAAGTCTCGCTCTTCTCCTCGCCCTGGACTCCTTGTCCTCTATGATTTTGATTTTGATTTGCATAGTGGATGTTGATTCCGATAAAAGCAGAGTTGGGTTCCTCATGTTTCTTCTTCTATCTCCGTCGTTCATAGGCGCTCTTGCACAAGTGTAGAGATATTGCTCTGAATCAACAGTCTCCGATTAGAAGATCGCTATTTTCACCGACGTCCTGCCTTCGCTGCCATGAGTTCCCTCCATCGACAACCATTCGAGTAAGTTTGGCCGTCTATTCTGTGTATCCAGTGTATGGATTGGCTTACTAAGATATCTGTTAGGCATGGTTTTTAGCTGGTGTGCGAGATGAGTCAATTTGATGGAATGGATTTTGATGAAAGAGATAGCTGTGAAAAGTGCTTTTTGATGGGGATGGTGGTTGTTTGCAACTTGTGGATGTTTTTCAGAAAACCCCAATTCATTTGTTGTGTCATGGAAACATATTGGTCTTCTTCTTTTCTTGCTGCACTTGGTTAATGTGCCCTTGTTCTTGTTGATCCTGAAACGTATATGATTTGAATCACAATGATTTTTGGGTTGAACTAAGATGACTATCTCTTTACTTGTGGTGGTAAATATAAGTTGTTGTAAGCTCCAACAACATGTTGCGTGTACTTTTTATCGCCTTCCAAGTTCAAACAAGCATAATTTGTCTACTAAATTTGAGCCCCCTTTGAACCGATTTCAAGGTTTAATACTACATGCAGGTTAGTATCTCACTGGTTGATTACAACCTGTTGTGTCATGTTACAGACTGCAACCAAAGTTTAGTTATACCTTAACGCGTAATGAGTCATTAGTGGATTATGCTCAAAGATCATTGGTGTGCTGATTATGAGTTGGGTGTTAATGAGTTCATGGAAGGTGCTTCTATGAATGTCGATGCAATTGGTAGGGTTAGATGTCCGTGCAAGAACTGCAATAATCTCTACTTTAAGACATTAGTCTAGGTGCTGGAGACATATTTAAGCATATCATGGTGAGTCATATGGTCTTAGTAGTAGCGGTGTAAACCCACCGACTGAGTCTGACGATGTTCAGAATGAAGAGAGTGGTTTACAGACCAACATGTCTGAAATGTTGGGTGATTTTGGTAGGGCAAATGAGTGTCTAACAACCGCTGAACCTTCCCACGGTCCTAATAATAATGGTGCATTGGCAAGGTTCCCCAAAGATGCCAACTGCCCTCTTTACCCTGAATGCAAAAAAAATTCTAAACTGTCCTATGTTATGAAAATGATGAATATCAAGATACAGACAAACAGTAGTGATAAAGCATTCAACCAATATCTTGATCTAATCAAGGACGGTTTACCGAATGGGGAAACATTTCCCACTTCATTCTATGAGGTGAATAAGTATATGCGTGATCTTGGATTTGGTTACACCATCATCGATGCATGTCCAAATAACTGTATTCTGTATAGGGGGCAACTTGAAGCTGCTCGAGAATGCCCCAAACGTAAAGAACCTAGGTTTAAATCTAGTAAACAGAAATGTGTTGCCTTAAAGAGAGCTAGGTACTTCCCCATTAAGGATAGGTTACAACAGTTGTTCACTACCCAAAATCTAGCAAAAGATACGCGGTGGCACAAGGATAAATGCTATGATGATGACAGGCTTAGGCATCCAGCTGATGATAAAACTTGGAAGGATTTTGATCGGGATCACCCTTGGTTTGCTGCGGATCCTAGGAATGTCAGACTAGTGCTTCTTAGTGATAGGTTTAACCCATTCGATAACATGAGCAACAACTACAGTATGTGGCCTGTTGTCTTAACCCCGTACAACTTACCTCCCTGGTTATGTATGTCCGACCCTTTTTTTTCTCCTCAGTGTTCTGATTCCTTGTCCCAAATACCCCGGGAATAACATTCATGTCTATCTAAAACCCGTTACAGAATAGTTGAATGAGTTGTGGCATGATGAGGTTCTTACATATGATGCTCATGCAAACGAATCTTTTCAATTGCATGCTGCATTGCTGTGGACCATCAATGATTTCCCTGCATATGCCATGCTTTCCGGGTGGAGCACTAGGGGTCAACTGGCCTGCCCAATGTGCAACATTGAGACTTGTTCTCAACGTTTAGAATATGGAAGCAAGGAGTGCTACATAGGGCATCGAAGGTGGTTGTACAAAGATCTTCGTTGGAGGAGGAGTAAGAAGTTCAATGGGAAGCCAGAACACAGAAACAAACGTAAGCATTTATCAGGAGAAGAGATACTTCAACATGTTGAAGCTGCTTTGAGTGGGGATGTTACTGTTCACGAGGATGGGAAACGGAAAAGGAGTGCTTCGGAGGACAAGTTCAATTGGAAAACAAAATCTTCGTTTTGGAGTTTGCCATACTGGAGGTCTATTGACTTGCGGCATAACATAGATGTCATGCATGTGGAGAAGAACATCAGTGACAATATTATCGGGACGATGATGAGCATTGATGGGAAAACAAAGGATACACCCAATGCTCGCATGGATTTAAAACAGATGGGCATTAGGAAGGAATTACATCTAACTCCTGTTGGTGATAAGTTTAAGATGCCACAAGCCTTGTACACACTAACATCGCCCCAACGTAGGGAATTCTGTGACTGGTTGAAATCTGTAAGATTTCCCGATGCTTATGCATCAAACATATCCCGGTGTGTGACTATTGATGGTAAGTCGATGACGGGCTTTAAAAGCCATGATCACCACATATTTATACAATGATTGCTGCCTGCTGTGGCTAATGGTTTCTTCATAAAAGAATTTTACACTATTTTGGTTGAGTTGAGCGGTTTTTTCAGGGAGTTGTGTTCCAAAACAATCTCCAAAGCCACTGCAAATAATTGGGCCACAACATACCTCTCATTCTATGTAAGTTTGAGATATTATACCCTCCATCTTTTTTCTTGGTTATGATGCACCTTCCCGTTCATCTACCCCACGAGGTAGAACTTGGTGGTCCGGTACAGTATAGGTGGATGTATCCCATGGAAAGGTAGGATTTTTCCTTTAATTTTTCGTTCAAACCATACTCTAATTTGTTAACCCAGTATGTCCTTAACCTTATTTTATGGGCTGATGTTTTTGTGTACTTAGGTTTCTTGGTACCCTTAAAAGTTTTCTTCGAAATAGGGCTAACCCCGAGGGGTCCATTGCTGAAAGATATATTGCAAAAGAGTGTTCCGATTTTTGTTCTAGATACTTGGAAGGGTTTGAAACAAGGGCTTCTCGTCCTAATCGTAATGATGACGGGTTTGAAGGTATTGAGTCCGAGGGCTTTCGTATTTTTACCCAACAAGGTAGAACAATAGGAGCTACTCGTTATGACCCAATTTCAGTAGTTGAATTTGAGCAAATTGTTTTATATACCTGATATACCGAATGGTGGTGCTTGGCATATTGTTATCAAGGTTACTCCCCGACACGTGTATGATGTTCCTGAGAAGGAGGAAGGGGAAATCAATGATCCTGAGTATGCAAGTGAGGCGTTTCAGTAAGAAGAGAGTGGCATTGGTAATGTGATTCAAGTGCAGGACATGGAGTTGGATGAAACAACCCGATCTTTTTGGACAAACCAAAACTTTAAAACAAAAACCGGTTACTCCGGAGCAACCCAAACCATGTTTTAAAGTCAAACCAAAATTCAACCAACGATAATAACCAAAAATCTCAAACGAAAAGCCCTAAACAGTTGGGCAAATCTCAATCCAAACACTTGAACAGAAAAATATGATAAAAAGACAAATATGATAAAAAGGGTCCCATCTCAATACCCTGATCCTTCTGACATCTTGAAGCTTGACGCGGCTGACCTCCTTGATTAATCTCCTTGTGCTGGTTATGCCATCTTCCCCTTTCCACACCTGATGAGTGAGAAGGGGTCAGTCTCGTCGTTATTTTCTAAGGTCTTTGCCTAAGCAAGCCCTACTAACACATTATTAGAAATTACTTCCTCTTACATTAAAGTCGTTCTCGCTTTCATCCTTAATATTTTAGTCTCTGATAGCTTATAGAAGTTCTGTACTTCTATCTTAATTTATATACTTATTACTAGGGTTCACCGCGTTACGTATCGCCGTCCGGTGTCCCTATCCTCAAGGCAATGGTATTGCGTTACGTATCGCCGTCAGTCCATGCCCGGTCAACTACTGCGTTACGTAGAGCCGTCCAGTAGTGACCCGACCATCTACCGCGTCCAGTAGTGACCCAACCGCCCGGGGGTTCAATTACCAATAACCATGCACATTCATACACACACAAGCACAATGCGTGCCTCCACCTTAAGTAGGCGGTGGGATGCCTCACACACATAATCGCGCTTACTTGAAAATTAACGAACATAACTGAATTAAAATGCATAAACTAAAAGACCTCGACAGAGATTTTACCCCTTTACACTCACCTCTCAAGTGCCGATACTTTACTTCCTTTGACGTGGGGTCCCTTAGTTTGATCGCCTCCTTGATCCTATAAATCGAGATTAAATTTCCTTTAGTCGCTATTCCGCAAAATTTTCCGTTTAGTCCCATAATTCTTTAAAAAGGCTTTAACTCATCCTAACTAATTAAATAATATTTGCATAAATCTCATAAAAATTCTCGTGAACTTTCCAAAAATCCCTGACCCCTCAAACTACAAATTCTGACTTCTAATAAGTTAAAACAAAAACCAAAATCATTAACTATAATTTATACCTTAATTACCCCTCCTTCTTATTTAATAATTTTTTTAAACATATTCTACCAATATCTAAATTTCTGGTTCTTTATTCCCCTACAAAAATTCAATATTCTAGTCTTGCAAAAAATTAACAAAGTCATATAATATTTACATACAATAATTAAATTAATTAAAACAAATATCACATAAATTTTTTCAATTACCAAATCAATTCGAATAATCACCCAACAATTCCTGGACAAACATAACAGTATATGTTTTTTAATAAAATTATCAAAACAGGAAAAACCGTTCGAACACTATTTTATTTAACTAAATCCGTCTTCCTAATAATTTTTATAATTTGAAACATATCTTCAAAAATTCTCGAATTAATATCCCAGACTCTTATTAGTTTTATCTTATTTATAAAATTATCATCCTTTGAAAATACCCACTGTACAAAACAAAATAATAATAATAATTGTGAGAAAACATTGTTTTCGACCAATTGTAAATGTTTAAAACACTGGGGACTAAGGTGCTCGTACCAAAAATGTGGGGGACTAACAAGGTCATTTTTCCACATACTGAAATGAAATTAATCTCTAGGTCCTTTTACTTTTCGAATGGACAGATTTGGTACCTGAACTATCCAATTTGCATCCCAAACTTTCGAGGCTCGTATCTCCCTCCTCCAACGTCGAAATTCGATTCCATTGAAACTGGGGTGTTCCTAAGATCGTCCACTACGCGATGGTACCAAGCTTTGGAAGCTTGATTGAGATCAACTGCACCGTGATCGTTGTCGAAGCTACGTTCATCACGAGGTTTGTCGGATTAATCGGAGTTTAAACACTACAAAATTAAGGAGCTTTAGGGACAAAAATAAGGGACACCTTACTTAGTTTGTCTCCGGAAATGAAATGTGAAGTTACATAGAGGACAAGTTTTAAAAATCGTCCCGGGATATGCAAAGATATCATAAATTATACTATTGGGCTTTTTTTTTTGCCGTCCCCGCGCCCAAGGCGAGATTAATTTGCCGCTCAATGAGATATGCCGCCTAATATTTTACCTTTCAGATTTAAAATATTTCAATTTTTTTGGAATTTGATTTAGCAATTAAATAAATAGAATGAGAGAGGGGTACAACTAGGGTTTGATCTTTTATTTCTCTTCATCATTGTCTCCTAAGGAGCAAATAGTAGCGGCCGTTGGCAGACATAGCAGAGGAAGCAGATCGAGTCTTCTCTATATGGTGAAAAATAATTGTTGCTATCAATTACAAGGTAAGAACAATTGATTTGTTTTTCTTTAGAGATAAAACTCTGTTCTCTTGTGATTTACAATAGGTAGTTTTCGATTTTGGTTCTTTGTCTTCAATGTTGAATTATAAAAGGGGCTCGATTTTGTGATTCTTCGTCGGGTAAGGGTTTTGTTTAGCTGTGTAATCGTCTGTTTGATTTTGTACCTGGGAAGGGTTATGATCCTTTACATCTTATCCCTATTTTGGTGTTATAGTGTTGTAGACTTGTAGTGGAGGAGATGAAAGTTGGTTTCTTTACCTTTTTCTCTCTTAAAGTTTCGTGTTTTATAAGATTAGATGATACAGAAATCCATGCAACACATTGGTCTTGGCAGAGTTAATTAGCTATAGAAGTTTCAATACTGTACGGATGATCTTGGATGTAATATATCTTGAATATGAAGGTTTTAAATTCTAATAATTTCAATAGCATCTAACAATAAAAATCAACTTATATTATATTTATAAAAAATATATTATGGGGAAGTTAAAGATAAGAAAGTGGTTCATGATCCAGTATTAAGATCTTCAAAATAATTGAACCTAGCCATTTCTTTTTTGAATGCTTTTATCCTCACTCTTATTCTTGCTTCACAGGAAGATGTGGTTTTTGATTGGCCATAAAGTTCTTGACTAATCTTTGATGCTGCTCAAATCGCGACAATTTGATGGGTGAATGAATTTGAAAGCGAAGCAGGGGGCCAATGTAAGTGTTTTTAGTATTATAGTTTGGTCATTATTTTGAGTTCTCACTCTTTATAGTGTTGACTGTTGAGACCCTAAGCAGATGATTACATTGCCTTAATATGTTCACATGCTATTTGAATTTTTTCACTTCGTTTCCCATGGCAGGACTATTTATTACTTCAGCAATTTGCGTAGTGGGACAATGAAGTAATTGGAAGATTGGAAACTGAAGGAACAAAATTGTCATAGGATCAAGAGTACAAAAGCAAGCCGAGCATGTTTGTCCATAACAAGGAGGTTGAACACCAGAGAAAACATTGTTTTTGTTGGTAGCAAGAAGTTATCTTTCATTTTAGTTTTATGTATTTTTTCTGAATGATCTCTTTTATCTAAAGTATTATGTATTGCCCCAAAATAAACATGTAAGGCATATAATTAGTAGAAAACTTGTTAAGCGAGTGATGTTGGTTCCTATAAGCTACATGGATGACAATTTGTTATCAAAAGATATAGTATAAAAGGGGTCAATATAGCGTCTCCGACTAGTCCCGGTACTATCTTGAATTTGATTTTAAGGGACAATATTTTTTCCTTCGTACTAATGTTTATAGGGACGAATTTGATTTTAAGGGACATATTTTGTCCTTCGTAATAATATTTAGGGGACGACTTAGTGTTACCGAAGTTTTGGTTATAGGGACGACACATTGTTCCTCATAAAAAAGAAACTAGACTACAACTCATAAGTATGGGGGACGACTGTCGTCCCTAGTATTAGGGACGACCTAGATTTTTGTCGTCCCCATAAAAATAGAGGACAAGAGTATAGGTGACCAAACATTAGGGACGACTATGTCGTCCCCAAAAACTACAGGGACGATTTTGTCTATTTCCGGGGACGACTTTTGATGTCCCCAAACCTCCTTTTTTTTGTAGTGAAACGAGCTCAAGAAGGATTGAGTTCGAGGTTCTCACCTACTGACCTCTGAGAAGGGATGGTTGGTTGCGTTCCTCGAGCGGACGGGAAACGTCCAATGCTCGGCGTCCTTCGAAGGTCCGGTATTGTCGTTTGGTTATCGCCGAGATGTTCGTCGGGACGGAAATGGATATTGCTCGCTTGTCTCGCTGGGAAGAAGAAGTCCGGTTGGAAGGGGTTCTTAGTTTTGTTTTTGGTTCATGCATGCATTTCAATTATAGGGATGTTGTTGGGTGTTTATTGTTGAACGGCAGATGGGGGAATACGTTGGAATTATTATGGACGGGGGAGTTTATTGGTTTTTTTCTTTTTATTATTAAATGACTTGTTTGTCTTGAGATGGAAGAAACGAGAATGATGATGGTGATGAGAAGCCGATGATGATGATAATGATGATGATGATGATAATAATAATAATAATTATTATTATTATTATTATTATTATTATTATTATGTTATTATTATTATTATTTCTAATCTCCGCTCGATCCTAAACTTCGTACGTAATCATTGATCCAACTGTTCGGTCGAACCTAAACTTCAAATGTCGGGGTGTAACATTGGATGACCTGAATCGTGCAATCAAGGCTCCCACCATGGTCAGTGAGAGCGTTATTAGGAAACGTGTTGTTGTACCCGACATAGAGGGTATAATCGAGGTCAAAGAGGCTCCCACCCTCTCGTCCTTTAATAGAAGAAAAACCGTTGCGACCTCAATCTCTCAACTCAACACCGGTGAAGATAAACAAACCACTAAGCTACAACATTTTTTTTTTGAATCTTCAGGCCCCTCGTCTGGTTTTATTCCGCAATCGAGCTTAATGCGTAATCCATTAAAGGTATTTGAAATCTCGATTTAGTTAGATCGTAATTTACTCATACATCTAAATCTTCAAAATATCTTTTTCTCTACGTCACTACCCATTTGTATATTTTTTTTTTCTAAAGATTCAATAAAATGAAATCATGGTTAATTGATCATGATGATTTTATAGTGTAATCTTTCCATAATCATTAATCAATTGTTTCCAACTAACCAAAAAATCTTATTTTAATTTTGAGAATTGCGTCAATAGACGTATGATCAAATATTAATAACAAACACATAATTAATCGAATCATAAAATTAAATACACCAATAAAGCCGCAAATAATAATACACCCACCCCTTAAAAAACTTATTGATTTTAAGTAGTACCAATTTTGGGCATTGTGGAGTGTGAATACACTTCCCCACACGTAACCGTACTCCCGAACCCAAATCTCATAAATTCGCAGACCAAATCCCGGTTTCGACTCCATGGTTGAAATCGGGTCGAATGGTGTTCGATCCACCACAAATAAGATTGATGGTGACTCCGAGTGTGACGCGACGGGTTCTCGATTTTCCGAGGGGCGGTTGCGACAGTGGCGACTCCGCTGGGGAACTTTTGAGAGTCTAGCTACATAACTAAATCGATAGGCTTTTCTTACTTTCTTTTTGGGTGTTTATTATATTGTTTGCGCTTTTTATTTTACTTTGTATTTACTTTCATTTCGTACATAAAAAGCTCTATACTCGAGCTCTCCCTTTAGAAATTGCAAGGTGTAACGTGACTCCTACAATAGTAGGGGAATACCGTGAAACTTGCTAACCGAGTTGAACTCAAATCCGAGGTTGATTTGAGGCATCTGACTAAGCTTGAAAGAGCATTATTTAGATACAACTTGGGTATTTCCCTAGAACTCTTAACCAAGCATTTAGTAAGTTTAGCAGCCGCCTAACACCATCTCGTATAAACCTTGTCGTCTAACCTTACAAATCTTATGTTTATTTAATTAGAGAATTTTTTTTGTTTATTTAGATAAATTTTTGCCTATGATGTGATAATTTGTGCATTATCAATTACTCATAAATAATGTGATTTTATTTTTCACATAAAAGCTTTTCAAAATGCATGACATTAGTAGTTCTCCGATTGAAAATAAAATCATAAAAGATAAAGTGCATACATCCATCCAGGTTATCTTTGCATTCATGCATTCAAATCATTTAGCACCATAAACAATTTAATAACAATAAATTTGTCAGGGTTCCTTAAAATTACTCGTCTACGAGGAAAAAGTCAACCTTTTAAGCACTTCACGAGATCAAAAGACAATGTCTTCATGGAGGCATTTCAGAAAGAGTTAAACGAGATCAAAGGGAAGATAACAGGGTTTGATGAGAAACTGATGGGTTTTGATGAGAACCTGATGGTTTCGATGAAAAGCCAACTCAGCACAATTTTGAGAATTATGAGGAAAAGGAAAGGGGGTTGCAACCAACGAAGAAGAAGCGATATTCGATGAAGAAGATCACTATGAACCACCTAAAGGAGATGCCTCGGGTAGTAAATTTGTTCTCATACCTTCGAAGAACACATGTGACGAAGATGGCATACGACAACCAAAGCATAACAAATTAGAGGAGACTGAGAAGCAGGAGGAACATGGGGTTGATGCTATGCTGAAAGAAAAATTGGAACACATGAATGAACGAATAAGAAGCATAGAAGGATTTGAATCCTATGAGTCTATTGATGCATCACAACTATGTTTAGTCCCAGTCCCAGATGTCATAATTCCTCATAAATTTCAAATACCAGAATTTGAAAGATATAATGGCACTACTTGCCCAAGAAGTCATCTAGTCATGTTTTGTAATAAAATGGCTAACTATATTCGTGATGAAAGGTTGATGATACATTGCTTCCAAAACAGCTTGAGAACCTCGGCGCTCAGATGGTATATGCAATTAGAGAAAACAAAAGTGAAAAAGTGGCAGGACCTAGTC